GGGGGGGGGGGGGGGGGGTCTGCCACGCCTTTTTTTATTGCCAAGTAGAAGAATAAATATTCGAATTCGCGTATTTTCTGCTTGATATATTAGTATCTTACTCTCAATATGGATAATTCTACCCATTCAGCGTTCTCTTCGCCTCCAACGGATATCCTTGACGTCGATAGCATCTCTATAGATGAGATAGAGTCCCCTGAACCCTCTGCCTCCGCTAGCACCTCGTTATCGCTCCACCGTGGCCGTCATTCAAGGCCGACAACTGTATCCCCTCATTTTTTTGGGTATTCGTTTCGAAATGACGGAATTTCGTATACTATTCGCGAGAGAACAGCTGTTAGAAAGGGCGGTAGACCCTCTCATATCTGGCGGCATGGCACAGAGCTCTATTCGCTGAAACAGCGCTCTGTTAGCTGGATGTGCAATCTCTGTTGGGATAAGGGCAGCGCTATTATTATGTCTGGGGGCAATACAACAAGGCCTATTAGGCATTTGCTTGAGAAGCATCGAATTCGAAGCGACGGTCAAATAGAAACTGGCGAGAATAGTGAGGCAGCGCAGGCAGCTCCTATAGCAAAATCAGTTCTACAACAGCATATTGAGGGCGCTCAACAACGTCCTATAGCAAAATCAGTTCTACAACAGCATATTAAGGGCGCTCAACAACGTCCTAGCCAGCTTACTGTTAACGCAGTTTTGCTTACTCTTATTCAGTGGATTGTGCTTGCTCATATTGCTCTTAGTTGCATTGAATTACAAGCGTTTCGAGATCTTCTGAAGCTGTTAAATCCGTCGATTTGCAGTTATCTCTATAGCACAGGTAAATCCGTACGAAATTTGATCCTGCGAGAATTTCAGCAACGTTGACTGCGCGTTATTGATGAGCTACACAGCGCGCATAGCAGAATTCATCTTTCTTTTGATCTGTGGAGCTTACCAAATTCGTTGCCCTTGTGTGGCGTTATAGCTTATTATTTAATAGCTGATTTGCAGAATAGAGCTCTCCTTATAGGTCTCAAAAGAGTACAAGGCGCTCATTCTGGTGAGAATATCGCTAAGGCAATTATACGGGTTATTCAAGAGTATGATATAGCTGACAGAGTGGGTTATTTTCAAGCCGACAACGCAGGGAATAACGACACCTGTATCAAAGCGATTCTTAAGGAGATCTCACCTTCTTCGACTGCGAATCAACGGCGTTTACGTTGTTATGGGCATATTATCAACCTTGCTACCAAAGCCTTCTTGTTTGGCGATGATTCTGACGCGTTTGAGCTCGAAATCAACACTCTCGAGAAGCTCAAGCTCGAAATTCGCCATGAACGCGAATTGCTGGCCCTATGGCGAAAACGAGGACCTATTAGCAAGCTCTATAACCTAGTTATTTGGATTCGAAGGAGTCTGCAGCGCAGGGAGAGCTTTATAAGCTTATCAAGAGATAATACGACTTTGAAGCGTGAGTATTCAAATTCTATGCATCAAGTAACTACTGATTTGACTATAGAACTAATGGTTCTCTTTGATAACGCAACTCGCTAGAATTCGACGTATCTTATGCTCCATTGCGCTCTCAAGCTTCGTCCTTAAATAATAACGATTTGTGCGATAAATATCAATGATCTTAAGGAGGATACGCTCTCTGTAGAAGAGTGGGATAAGATAGAAGAGATCAAGAGCATCCTAACGCCATTCTACAAGGTTACAAAGTGACTCAAGGGCAATGCTGTTGAGGGCTACTACAGTTCTATTTAGGAGGCGCTGCCTGCGGTTGAGCTGTTGCTTTAGCATCTTGAGAAGCTTAAAGAGATATACAAACCGTTTCGTTCCACTGTCTCCGAACGCTGCCGCTGCGTAGTGAATAGAGTTAGTGATTTCTTCCTTACTCAAAATCTTGCTGCTCTAACTTACAAAGTTCTTCCTTCTTCCCTTGAGGCTATAATATAAAAACTCACATCAACACACTTCAGTAGGCAAAAGCAATAATAGCTCAAATAGTACAACAGATGGGGCTTACGGCTTTTTGACCATGACGTCGATCATGCTCGCCTGACTTGCCAGCTCCAAGGGAGCGGATTGGAATTTGAGTGGTGGGCACTTGATGGCTTGTGTTTCTTTGTCTTGTCTTCTTACCCAAATAGGCACACCCAGCATCGATTTCTCCAGCTTCCAGTAACTGCTATCTTTACAATCACTCAATCAGGACATTGCAACAAAGTTGTCGTTAGGCTTACTCGCCAAGGGCATCTGTTTATGATTTGTCGTATGTTGCTTACAAGCAGCAGCAAGGTAGGTTTCGCAAATCGATGCCGCTTTGCGATGCATGGCAGAGACGCCAGTGAGAATGATAGAGTAACCATACTATGTAGGTGCCCCTCTAAATTTGGGGGTAAGCCCTAAGGAAGTGGTCCATAGCTGTTGGGGTTTAACCGAAGTGATGCCATCCTCCAGGCTAGTCTTGACCTAGAGCAGCCCCTTATTTATCCCTCTTCTGAGGTTGTTCGAGTGTTCCGTAGTTAGGCACCGACTGCCTACATTATGCTCACACATGAAAACTGAGCTCTTGTCACGTCTATTACATTCCGTACATGGGAGCACCTGGAATGTAAAATGAGCAACAGGAGATTGAAGACACAGTCAAGACACCTTGAACTGTGCATCAGCGATGTAAGCAACTTGATCTCAAGGCCACTCAACTGAGTTCATTTCTCGAGGGTCTCGAGTATTCTATAGGTAGTAACCGGAGTGTATACTAGGAGTGGCTGATCATTGAAACGGAGAACCAGGTGGTAGAGTATTCTAAGAGTACGAAAAGTGGTGGAATGCGCATGAGTGGATCAGAATTGCAAGCTTAAACTGTCAGCGTATGTAGTTCAAAGCTGCGTGATCAATCTTAACCTAACTTAGTGAGCTTGTGAGCTTTTAAGAGAGATTTCACTCCTTGGTTGTGAGATTTCTATCACTCCGAACTATCCTTTCCCAAACGAGATCAGCGATCACCGCCCGTGATTTTCCTCCTGCTTCGGTCGATCTCGCCTCTCTGGGCATCTACGTCAGAAGGAAATTGTAGTGACGACATGAAGACCTTTTTAGGATACCGTTGTCACAAAGTATTGCTATTACTTGTATGCAGGACAGAACTGCGTCGTTACTGTAACACATGTTCTTCACTGATATGGAGTACTGCTACGATATAGAGGACCTCGGCTCCTTTCCCTTCCGACATTTAGTCCTCTTCTTGCTTACTTTGACAAATAGTTAGCTTCCTCAGTTCGCCCCCGATCGGGCGTTCCAACCCGCTTTCAAATCTAGTGCCTGAACTCCCCAGGCCCTTGAGCTCCTTTTTGGTTTGCCTCTTCCAGGGCCGAGGCTCGGTACGAATGTTGGAAAGAGCACTTGGCCTGGTCTCGTCCACTGAGTCTGACGGATTCCTTCACGGGCTTCTCGGGCCCATCCGCTCATGCAGTAGCCTCTCCCAATGATCTCATCCACGTCTGCTAAGAAACTGTCAAGGCGCGTCACTCCCTTGCACGTGGGTACGCACGATAGGTGATTAGTCGGCATGAATCGCCACGAGTCCGAAAGAGTACGTCAAGCACGATGATCCTCGCTTACCTCCATGTACGATCTCTCAGGCATGCAAGGGCAGCGTATGAGAGAGCTTGAATGTGGCGAGGATGCAGCACAGAGTACATAACAGCTGCAGGTACTTCTCTCGTTGTTTACTTTTTCAGAGATTACATCCACAATCAAGTGCTCTCAAATCAGAAGTATGAAGCTTCTACTCCTCTTGTCCTTTCTCACGGCGGCTTCCTGCGTCTCCATCTTTGAAATCACCGGGGATCGCTTTATCTCGCCGCTTCGAGGCCAGCGCGTCTCCAATGTGACTGGGATTGTCACGGCCAAGGGCCCTGACGGGTTCTGGCTGCGTTCTGTCACACCTGATCGCGACGCCAGTACTTCCGAGTCCATTTACGTCTTTGGTAGGACCGCCGCAACCCCCCGCACTGTTGGAGAACAAATCGTTCTCAGTACCGCTACTGTGACCGAATTCCGCACGTCGGCCGACTATTTGTATTTGACCGAGCTCACCAACCCCGGCAATGTCACGGTTATCTCGTCCGGGAATGATGTCTCGCCCATTGTGATTGGCGCTAGGGGACTGAACCCTCCCACAGAGCAGTACTCTTCGCTGGACAACGGCGATGTGTTCGGTCTGCCCAATAATGTCAGTCAGATCTCCGTGGTCAACCCTGTCCTAGAGCCCCAGCGCTATGGACTGGATTTCTGGGAAAGCTTGACCGGCGAATTGGTCTCCGTGCCAGGGGCTCGAGCAGTTGCGAGGCCAAATCGCTTTGGAGATACATGGGTTGTCGGAGACTGGAGGACGACGGGGGAGAACGAAAGAGGTGGTTTGACCATGACGGATCAAGGTAGGTATCCCGTTCTACTTGGTGAGCGCTCCAGACTGACCATCATAAATAGATGCAAACCCGGAAGCTATCCTCATTGGCACGCCTCTTGACGGCTCCAGGAACCCCAGTACTACAGTACTGGGCGACAGCTTCGAAGATATCACCGGCATTGTCACCCAAGCCTTCGGGTTCTACCGCATTCTACCATTGACGAGCTTAGTGGTCATATCCTCCCCCCAGCCTGCTCTGCCCCCTCCGACAGAACTTACCTATTCGGGCAACTGTGGAGGGCTGACCATAGGATCCTACAATGTCGAAAACCTCTCTCCAACCTCACCCAATCTGAACCAGATTGCTTCCGACATTGTCAACTACCTAAGAAGCCCGCCATTGATTTTTATTCAAGAAATTCAAGACGACAATGGCCCAACGAATGATGCTAGTGAGTTGCCAAAAAACTTTCCTCCGTGAAACGGACTCAATAACATATTTTACTCTAGTTGTCTCAGCCAACCTTACCCTATCCACGCTGTCCCGCGCTATTACCGCTATCAATCCTTCCGCCTCCTATGCATTCACCAACATTGACCCCACTGACGATACCAATGGTGGTCAGCCCGGCGGCAACATTCGAACAGCTTACCTGTTTGACCCGCGGGTTCTGCGTCTTCGCTCCGCCAATCCCGGTACAGCCACGTCTGCCAATGAGGTCTTGCCAGGCCCCACACTAAGGTTTAATCCTGGCTTGATCGACCCGCTGAACCCTGCCTGGGTTGATAGCCGGAAGCCGCTTGTTGCCGAGTGGGAGATCTTGAATAGCACGGGAAGTTTCTTCACCGTCAATGTGCATTTTGCGAGCAAGGGCGGCAGCTCATCGCTTCATGGTGACGCCAGGCCGCCTGTCAACGGCGGTGTGGATATCAGATTGGCACAGGCGAATATTACTGCTGTAAGTTCGACCTCGTTACTTATCCCTCGCCGAATCCATGTCGATAATTTTCACTGTTTGCTTTATTCCCAGACTTACCATGCTTGCAGAATTTCATCGCCTCCATCCTTGCGCAGAACTCAAACGCGCCGGTAATCGCATCTGGGGACTTCAACGAATTCGCCTTTGTTGCTCCCTTGGAGTCCTTCGTGGAGATCTCTGGCCTGCGCGATGCGGATGTCTTGGCTGGCTTGAGCCCCGAGGAGCGCTACACATACCTCTTCGACATGAATACCCAGCAACTGGATCACACGTACGTGAGTCGTGGAGTTAGGAACGTGGAGCTTGAGCACGTGCATATCAACACCTGGGGAGCGAACGGGGCAAGTGATCATGATCCCACGGTGCTGAAGGTTGGAGTGTGTGCAAGGTAGTTCGATGGCAATGCGATTTCCAAGGGGTGTACAACATAGAGTGTAGAGTAATACACTCCTTTTTTCCAGACACTTTTAAACTTACCACAATTTTGTAATTATTGCTACTACCTCTTTGTGTATCAGAGATTTCGCTCTAGTTGGACTAAAAAAAGACTTTCTCTGGATCGGCTCAAGAGGAGCGCTCGGATCATATCCTAGAAGCAGTTCAATAGCATAGCAGCGTTATAAACAGCCACAACATCCTCCACTATTTGATTCTTAGACGGTTAGGCTGAAATGATCCTCTTCCAATTAGCTCATATCGACGACTCGAGCATGTTTAATCCAGAGCATTATTGCGTTGTGTGCTTAGCCGAAGGAACACCTCCCACGTCTCAGGAAGGTGGGTACGCGTCTCATGAGGAGAAATTTAGGTCCCGAGGTCCTCCGGTCGCCAAATGGGGTGGCACTTTTGTACTGAGGCGGTCGACTGTAGGCGAAGCCCATATTGCCCTTTCCGCATATGCAGGGGTGGGCGAGATGTGCCATGTAAGGGGCCATCTTCACCCTGCAGCAGCCCTATAATCGTGTGCTTGGTAGAAGGTTTTTTGAGTCTGCAAAGTCTCCGTCTGAAGCGTTACGTGCATCAGCCATATCTCTATAGGATATGTTGGTCTTGGTCTACTTTCAGGTCCTTTCCGGTCTGCAGGATGACATGATCGGGCCTACGTGAATTGCTACTTGCTGTTTGAGCGGGTGGAAATTTGGGAAGCAACCGGTCACGCAGCTTCTCTCTATTCGCCACGCTCCTGCTTCATCGCTGTTGATCAGCCACCGGAAGCGAAGCTTGAGGTCGTCATGTAAGTAGGGACGTGTGTGTGTCCTCGCCCCATTTTGGTGCTCCCGGGGTGCTCAGATTGAGGCCAAATGAAGGATAAGATTTGTCTCGATGCCCCAGACTGATGGTGTGTTTCAGCCCACTTGCTTACCTCGCCCGTGGAGGTTGACCCTTACCCTCTGTACTTGGGAAGATGCTTTGGGCCCCTTCACCCAGGCTGAAACATAACGCTCATGTGGGTGCCTTTGATGTCAAGCACTTAGCAGACATTGCTTCTTTTGTACCATCAACCCCATTCCGGAGAAGCTAAACTATTGGCCTCAAATTTTCACGGGCCGTTATGAATATACGGGAAAGGTCAAGTCATGTCGCAGCCTCCAACCATACTGGCATTCTCGACACGGTCCCTTGCATGCTCATCTTCTTCATCGTTTCGGTTTACCCATCATCTGACGTCCAGAGGTCTGATCATGCTCACGACTTCTTGCAATTGAAGTACTCAACCACGTCCCGTGTGTGGGTAAGCAACGCTCTTCACAAAGCCCTTGGACTATCCGGAGCTAAAGACGAGATCCGATGCCACCATGGATCTGCCTAATAGAAACAACGGCGAGCCCAAGGAACTGGTAATGGGACCAAGAGAATACGAAGAAAGGTGCAGAATCCATTTTCGGGACCGCTTCAGAGTTTTGAATGTAAGTGAACACATCCGTTTGCCAATATGCAGAGCTCAAAGGTAGTTGATACTCAGCCGTGCCCGCAGCACATGTGGGTCATTGTTGCATGGGTCGTTCTTTTTCAGCTTCAATACAAGATCGTGCTCTAATTTCTTCTATCAGATAGACTTCAACTCTTTCACCAATGCCGATTCCATGCAAAACTTCTAGATGGAAGATACATACGGTGCCAAATCGTGGTATAGTTAGTCCACATCACACCTCATATGCGCTGTTAGGGCTTGGTACGATAATGATATGTGCTAAACTGATCCTTAGAATACTTTATTCTCGCATCATTGATCAAGTCCTTTTGTCTTGGGGATGTGAAATACATATGTACTTCTGAGGGACAACAACAAATCCTTCAGCAGATGCTACTTTTCGAGTTGTATTGTGACCAGCCAGAAACTTTTCTTGCCATGTTACCCAGGTTAGAAGAGCTATATAGCGAAAGATTGCCGACTTGGCTAAGAAGTCTGCCGTCCCATACACTGCAGAGCTCGTCTTACTTGGCAGAGGGTGCTATAGGCGATCAAGACTTTCGAAAGATTTGGGGGACCGTGGAGGAAATGAAGATGAGCCATCCAGAGCTGCTCCGGCGTGAATTCGAGGTCAGGAAAGTCTTTGAACAAGTATGCGCAGAATTTCAACGGAAAAGGGGAAGCGACGATGTCTTGAGGAATTGGTCAGTGAGCTCGAGCCTGCCATTGATTCCGATCATTATAGCCAATATTAACGCTAACAAGGCTAGTTCGCTTGAAATCGATACATGATCCTCAATATAGGCTCCAATGTGGGTCAGGATGGACGCTTCCAGTGTTTCTCGCCATCAAGCAAGAGGTGTCTCAAGCCGTCCAAAATTACCTCAGCGAGTTAGATAAAAAGATAGCAGAATTTCTCAGCAAGTGGAGGGCCCCAGAAGACGAAGGCCGAGGGTCTTCCCCTTGTCTCCAGTCCAGCGAGAGCGGCAAGGTCAACTTACTTTTCGCAGTCGCAGGGTCAGGCAAGACCAGAAACGTCAAGTTCTTGCTGTCCAAGAACTAGGGTTTCTATCTCCTACCCTGTAACTTACCTCCTGGCCCTGGAGACAAGTTATATGTGCCTCGTCATGCAAACGGCTCTAACGATACGTGGATACTCTGGATGCTTCTGAACAATATCCGGACGTTCTACCCCAAGATTGACATAAAACGCGTTCCGACTGCGAAATGGTTCACGATTCTCCTCTACACCCGCGCGATTATTCTTGACCGGTTCTTGAATAAGGCTTGGAATACTAGGAACTCAGACGGCCCAGCGAAATGGTTGGCATTTCACACTTCTTGCAGCCCGTCTTTCGATCCGTTCAACACACTTTTTCAGCTTTTCATCCTTGAGACCCCTGATCTCGCATATGCCTTTTTGAGGTCCTTTACAACGGGCCATCTCGATAGGCTAGTCAAAGACGATAAAAGACGTCTGTACTACTGTATATATGAGGCTCAATGCGACTTAGAGCAGTGTGATTTCGAGCTGGTTGAAAAGCCAATCCCAATGCTTCGAATTGAGCTTGCATGTATAATTTCTAACCGGCTCTCGGCGTACCGGAAACCAGAGCCCAAGAACATTTTCATCGCAGGCACTTCACTAAGAATGAACGAAGCAAGTTGTATTATACAAGATGTTAAAAGTTACGATGAAGCTACATACAAATACGTGATGACTGGCTGCAAAAAACATGTAGACTTTCCCCTGCTCACCACTGAGGAGGATTTCAAGAGGCTGCTGAAGCAGCATGATATTCGAGTTCCAGAAGGGTATTTAACGCACGTCGAAAAGTGGAGTGTGCCACTTCGAGGCCGCTATCGCTGGTCCGTTCTATATATCGACCGCTTAAAACTCCTTCAAAATGGGGGCTGGACTCCGAAAGCGATAGAGAATGAGGCTCAAAGAACCATGAGAGAAGCGAAAATCCAACTTCAGAAGCGGCTCGAAGTACTTGAGAAACAAAATCAGACTCGGTTATTGGACCAACTCTGCCAGGTTGCTATTCAGAGTGATCTCCTGGACAAGCCAACAATATTCGAGGATGACAAAGACTGCGAGATGATATCGGAGGCTTTCGCAGTCGTGAAACCAATTGGCAAGGACCAGAATCAGTACAGGTCGCAATTGCAGGAACAGCTTGCCTTGGAAGCAGTAATCGAGTTCTTCCGTGACCGTCGACCCCAGCAATACGATGAGAAACTGAGGCGCTTTTTATTTTCCCAGCAAAATGACGCGGGCGCGCTAGGGAAGGTGGCAGAGTGGTTCCTGGCTTGGGTAAGTTTCTCTATTCTTAGAGATGCGATGGTAGCTGTCAGCTAATTGGATCTGAAGGAGCTGAGGAAATGTCTGCATAACTCGCAACGGATGACGGGGTCTCCAGAAAACATCTTACATCGACGTAAAGCCATTCTTGCTAACCTGGGCAATGCAGAGAACCTGAAGCAGCGGCACAGGTGTCTCGAAGATTACTGCTTGTTAGAAGGCGAGAGAACAGGCCACTGCTACGACCAAAGGCTCAAGGACATCCCGATTTATGAGTGGATGGCAAGTATCCGGAACGGAAAGAAACCAGCTGCGAGCTTTTACCTTCCTGATAATCTTGCCGGACCAGATATTCTATTTGCACTACAACACAGCAAGACGAGTGCGAAGACTCCGGGTGACAGTGTAATCTTGTGCGTTGTGCAGGTCAGTAGCCCCGCAAATTGAATATTGATCGAAACCCACAGTATTAAATATACCATTAATTATTGCTAACTACACTGGGCCAATATAGCTGAAGATTGGGGCCATCGATAACGGCCGTCGCAATTGAGACCACGAACCCGAGATCCTGGTACACAGGAAAGAATCCCAATCTCTGGAGAGACGAACAAAAGAGTGGGTGAAAAAGGAATTGGAAAATTGGCAACATCGAACTATTTCTTCGAGTCCTGATCACCACCGCACTGACGGCACAAGGACAAGCTGATCTCAACGCTGACAAGCGTACAAGCGAGAATGAATATTTCGTCCGGTTGGACAAGCGTCAGACAGAGAACCTTTTTGGAGCAGCATTTTTTCGGCTGATGGTGGCTATGAAGAACAAGGAGAAGGACGTGAAGAAGCTAGACGAGATAACACATGGGAAGAGGGGAAGGAATAATCCGGGTCCGGCAGACCCACGGGCGGGTAAGAAGAGCAAGCGATAACAGGGACAAATTGAGTGAGTTTTGGAACTTGTTTGATAGACAAAGAATCCAGATAAGTCTAGTGCACCCAGCGAAACCGAAACTCAGGATAGTATCTTCGCATTTCGTGGATAGTCTCGTTAGTTTTGTTCTGTGGTACGTGGTTTGGACATTCAGTTACCTAGACTAGGGAATACAGGATATCTTCACGCTATGATATTGGATCAGAAATGACTGGTACTTGTCATGACTCGCCAGGCAAAAATGCGCCGCATGTGGAAACAAATCAATTGGTGCTCCAACACCCACATACAGAAAGATGCCAAGGAGAGAAGAAGATCAGCATTGTAGCGTTTGGCATATGGTGGCTTGATATGAAGACCACCTTCCTTGGTCATCAGCCCGGATGCGAAGAAGATGAGATGGCAATCTGAAGAGATCTGCGTAACCTTGTTATATTTAGATGATGAGTTGTGCCTGCTCTAACCTCGGAATATGAGCTTCTTGCCTCCGTTGTGCTGCAGTTCTGATATTGAAATAGGCGGATATACGGGATTATTAGAGAAAGTTTTGGGAGAATTTCTCCTGTAAAGATTTGGGCGCAGCATCTCCACGGAGATGGGAAGAGAGATAATGTGTAGCTCTGGTGTTGGAGGAGGGCTGTTGTTCATGTTTCCGTGTTGGACTGCGATGGAAATTGGTACACATTTGGCTCTCTGTTTAACTGCGAAATCAGCGAACATATATTTGTGTGTTTCCTCGGAGGCACGCGGAAGAGAGGAAGGTTAGTGACCACAGAACTGTCCATCTAAGCAAAATTACTCCCGGATCTACACGGATCTCCTCCTAGCTCTAAGCTACCACAGTTAGGGAACTTGTTAGGTTGATTGATTGATTGATTGACTCTATCATCCGTTCCGGCATCCCGTAAGGTGGTAAGACCGGCAAGGCCAGCAAGTATTACTTAGTGTCGGATGCTGGGCACAAAACCAACTTCTGTGTCTTTGATACCTTTTTGTTTCTTACAGTACGCATCATCAACACCTTGAGGTACTCCGGATTACAGCGCCTATTACCAAGACCAGCGGAATGCCCAAGGTCAACCAAAAACAGCTTGTCTCAATCAAGCTTGTCGCGCCATGGTTATTCTATCAGCGGAAAGATGCGCTGAAGAAGAATTTGTTGTGCGTGCCCAAGTGGGTGTGCTGGCCGAAAGTAGGATCAGCAAGCTCGTGCTTGGACTGGCTGCCCAGCCTCTTCCGCAGCCACCCAATCGAGCACGTTTTCGCTCCATAGTTGAGCGACACAATTCTTGGGAATAACACTCCTGACGAAATGCAAGCTCACAACATACATGGCGGGATGTTCTCGTGTAGGTTCCAGAGATTCCTCAAGCATATGCAGAAGTTGCTCTTCCATAGTTTCTCAGTCTCCATTTACATTCCTGGTTGGTTATATCATTTTCAGTCCGCTTGTATTTGTGGACCATTTTTGGGATTCAGACATAGAAACAAGGCTCCTCCACTGCTAACGGTGATGGACCAATCCTCATACCTCGACCTCGAAGATTGGCCGCTCCGACAGCCTCCACAAGAAAGCAGTGCTTCTTCGTCGCCCCACGACTCTGAGTCAATCACTTCATTTTCTTTTCCACTGCCTCCGACATTCACGCCGACGACCCCCTCACCGTTGCTCAGTGAGAGCAGATTATTAAATACGGTCTCGAGATGCACCATGAGATTAGTTATGAATCCCTCAGTGACTATGTATGTTTGGAAGCGCGCAAATTGCGACTCTCAGTTATGTGATGATTCTGACAGGTTGCGGTTGCTGCTGGCAGATCATTCGTCAAAGGCTGTCAATTGTTCAAGCTCAAATACACATATGTCGATGTTTGCGAAAATGATAATGGGAGTGCTAAGTGTCTCGAAGCAGGCGATGCAACTGGGCAACAAGGACCCCTCATCCATACCGGTGAATATCTGATCAATGCTCTAGAGAGCTATGGAATATCCTCGACCAAGTTCTGACTACCGACAGTTTCTAAGACCAGGATGCCAATACCTCACCTGGAGCAACCCATTGTATCAAAAGCCAAGCCGCCTTTCAGGGTCAGCTTTCTTGAAGCTCAGACAATCCAGACTGCACAGATTGTTTTCTCATCACAGCCTGCTTACACGTTTGAGAACTGGGACGGTTGGTGTCTTCATCATCCTTTCACCTCTTTCTCCTGCAATGCTAAAGAGTCTTCTGCAGATTGTGTTCGTTTTCAAGAAGCTCTGCTTGCTCACAAGGTTATTTTTGTGGGCGGCATAGCAGAAGCAAAGTCCAAAGGACGTGGCGAAGAATGCATCAGTCAAAATCTGCGCATCCTTCAGGCACCAAATGGTATACAGACCATTATCTTTTTTGCCAATTCACAACGCAAAGAGCGCAAACAATATATCTCGATCCCAGGTAGGGTTGTATTTGCTTGTGGGCGTCTTGGGTCTCGTTTGTGACCTCTGCATAGTAAGTTGTATCGATCAGATCGACCAGAACAAAAAACCCGGACGACCCATCTCTCTCCGATTACAGCCCAACTTCAAACTTCTGTCGGAATTAAAGGTGCTGCACATTCAATTTCTTGACGACGATGGTACGTTTTCGGCTGCTGCTTATAGTTTGAACTAAGTGCTGATGCTCCCATGTTCTCTGCTCCGCTTGCCCAGACCAAAAGCAGTTTTACAAGATTCTCTGTCCAAATGCCAGTGGCTAGCAATTACGGAACGACGCTTGTTGTAACTGTCTCGCTCTTATTGCACGAATGCAGCCACACGATCGACTTTAGACGACGGGGAAGACGGATGGAGCAACTAGCGTGGGGTTGAACTGACCTTTTGCTTGCGGGCTGCGGCGTTACCAATAGAGCCGAGCCCTTTTGATGACCACTTAATAATCGCACGACGGAATGAGCCGCAATGTCATTGCCTAATCCTTCTCGTACTTCGGTTGTACTACGCACTATGGTACATGGCATAAGTATCCCTAGCACGGCGCTAGTATTTGCCACTTCGAACACAATGGATACAGATAGCCCTGTCAAACTTGTACAGCCATTCCCGTTGGAGCTAGGGATTAAAGCAAGCATACTAATCCTAATAAGGGTGTCTCTGGGCACCTTATCCTCGCTATAGCAAGGCGCCGATACGTGGCGTTGTAACTTTACAAGGCCGTTCTAGCGCCATGCTAGGGATACTTATGACTCTCCCCATACTGATGCCGCCGAAAAGTGCGTCCTAGCGCTAATTTGAAGCTGTATATCTTTCCTAATCGGGTATAGGATAGAGGGTCTAGAGTGGAGAGGGCAGGGATTCTGTTAGCCAATCAATTGCAGCTATCCTCTGAAGTTGTTATTGCCCTCGTGCCTCTGAACTTGGCTAAATAAGTTAGTATTATTAGAATTAAGATAAAGGACAGCTATATAAATATTAATAATATAATATATACGCTAGCCTATATAAGTAACCTCTTATCTCTTAACTAATTAAAGTTAAATAGAGTAAAATACATAGATATAAATAACTATAACGTGGTTTATAAGCGTCTAGCGCATACAAGCGTCTAGCGCACTTTTCTTCTATCTTATAACTTTATAATAATTTTATACAGCCACAACATAAAA